AATCTTGCCCAAACAAAAGCAAATGTAGTCCAGTTTCATTAAAATTGCTGGTGATGTTGCCTGTCTGGGAGTATAAAAAGTTGCAGCCATGCAATGCCACATGCCTGATTGATGATGGGTTGCATTTGGCTTGATGGGTCACAAGATGTGCAAGCCTAAATTAAGATACTTAAGGCAATAGATGGAAATGCATAAAGCCCTCACACTTCAGAAGTTAATGACCAACTGCAAGCTGCAGGAAGAAGCCAGTTATCCTTTGCAGGTTGAACATCCCTTGTTGGCCGCAGATACAGGCAGGATAATGAGATGTTTTATTTTAACTGTTCCATTCTGCATTTCATTCTTCCTTCCCCTCAGGGTAGACATCTGGCATTCTGGATTTTTTTTTCTTGCCCTCCTAAAGGCACTACTTCATTTAGGATGGCCAAACATTCATGGATTTGGGGAGTGGCCTTGCTGACCCCTCAACCTTTGACAAAGTGAAGTGAGTGCAGTACTCATGCTATAATATACATGAAACAGCTGCCCAGATCAGCAGCCTCCTTTGTGTAAAGTAAATCTTGCATACTTCAGTTACATCAGGACATGAAAAGTTCTGCTACACATATAGACCTTTTAGAGGAGCAGCCATTTGATTTGTCATGGTAGTTTTGCCCAAAGAATTCCTCCTCCTGTAGAATTTTAAACTTTAAAAAGAATTGCCTTGGCATGCTTTCTTTATGTTCCCACAAGGCGTTCCTTTCTGTCCTCTCTTCATAAAGGAAAGTGTTGGGGTCTAGCTGTCCATTAGAGCAGGTCTCCTGTGATTTGGAAACCTGCTTTGGATTTAAGGTGGTCTTTAGTGACATAACTCTGCTCAGCCCATAGCACTGCAGTCATCAGCCAGCAATTTTTAAATAGCAAAAAGGCACAAGGCTACTCTCTACCATGCCCACCATATTGTGAACTTTTAACTTTGTGATTGTTCTGACAGTCTGTGCATTTCCTCCTGTCCTGGAATCACAACACACTAGGCTTAAAAGTGAAAAGGAAAACTAATCAGCAAAGCTGTTCCTCTTTCTCTGGATGGCATGCAGATGGAATATTGCTGCTGGATTTGACTTGTAGAAATACAGCACAAAGTAAGTTTGGGCATGTTTTGTCTGGCTGCTCAGAAAACTCCTTGCATACCAAGAATGAGTAAATACATGATTTGCTGAAGAACACTCTGATGTGAGATGCTCCATAGTGTGTGTCAGATTTTCTCTTACCATAAGAATTGCTCTCAGAAATTAGGGAAGTAACAGGCTGTTTCTTTATGAGGATAGTAAAATAAAACCATTTTATTTTACTATCTTACCTGTGGGGTAACAGGTTATCACATGATTTTGTTACTGCTAATGATCAGTTACAAACTTCTAGGTTGTGTCAGCGGCAGGAGCAAGCTGGATAAATGTGTTTCAGTATCATTTAGCCAATGCAGTTGATCTTACAGTGTGAGGACTGAATCCTGGCTGCCATGCTGGCCTGCTTGGGGCATGTTGAGTAAGTGTGAGCTGGTCTCTTCTAAACATGTGCTGGTGCTGCAAATCTTGGAATTGGTTGTGCGTATTTGAGACTGCAGCCAGAAGTTTTAAATCCACTCACCTGCAATTCCAAAATGGGTGTGAACAGACCCATTTGAGGCATTTTAGTTAAGCTGGTGGGAAGCTGCAGTAAGCATAGCCCATTTATTTATGAATATAAATTACGCATTAGTAGATTGTGGTTGCCTGTGTTCCAGATCTGTGATATCTAGAGATTCAACAGTGTAATTATTCCTCTTTGGTCCAGTACAGTGTACTACATTAACCTTTACTGGTATTATTCCATTTCTTTCAAGACATTTAATTCTCATTCTCATTATCTAGTCTGAATTCCCCTAAAATGTGAACACAGGTAAGGCATTCCTGTAGCTACACTGTCCTTTAATGACTCTTTATTTTGCCTTTTGTTTTGGGGTTGGATCCAGATTTATACTGGATCAACTGCATGGATGGAAATAGACATCCCTGCCCTCTACTTCCCGTGACAATCCCTCCAGCTCCCTGAAAATGTGTGAGTCAGGAGATCCTGCTGAAAGGGGTGAGTGGTGGTAGTTGGGAGGGAATCCCAGAAAATGGGGCAGCAAGAACATTCAGCGGAGGCTCTCTGACCAACCTTGGTTTAGTTTTTTGCCCTTAATCCAGCACTGCAGTGCACAGCTAATATGACTCCTCACTTGCTACAATCTACAGCACAGTTATTTTCTTCATTTCCATCAACAAAACTAGATCGTTGAGCATTGCAAGAGGAAAGTTCCACTGTTTGGACTGTAACAGGGTATGAACAAATACCTACCATTAAAAAAATGGTTTTGTGGGCTTTTTGTGTTTTTATTTAAGATGGATCAATGTAGATTTATTCAAATCTTGGTTACTGTAGCTTTTAGGAGTGGTTCTACCCAGCCCTTCCATTTTAATTAGAATCATCATCATCATCATTGGAATAGTTATTGTAGCAGTTATCACCCTCTCCTCCCTTCACCACATATTCTGCCTCAGGTGGTGGGGCAGTGGCTTTTGACTCAATCACAGTCATGTTATTTTTGATCTAGCCTGCCTCAGATTGGTGCTGTTCAGATATTTTGGACTACATTCCCATCAGCCCCAGCAAGGCCACTGATCAAGAACGTTGGGATTTTTGTCTAAAATATCTGGAAGGCACCTGGTTGTGGAAGGCTGCCTTTTCCAGCTAAACTTAACTTGTTGGTGGGACCATTCACTTCACTACCATATACGTATTCATCACAGCCCTACTGACAGAGCAATGGAGGTTGGATCAGAGTGACGGAAAGGACTCTTGTTCCATGAATCTTGTATTCCAGCAAATCATCAGGCCAAGCTTTTCAGTTGCTGCTTTTGTTTCATTCTTCCTGTGGCTTGAACAAAGGTAGAGTCGTGCCCTTTTGTTCAGTAATTTTTATTTAATAGACCAAGGAGAAATATAAGTAGTGCCAATTTATGTTATGAACACCAGGCCAGTAGGAACTGAACCAAGGCTAAGAATTCATGGATAAAGTTGTGTTTGGAAACTGTCAGCTTGGTCATAACTGAGCTAGCAAATACTGAATAGTCTGCTTAGCTGTCCTATGCTGTCAAGTCCAAGTGATGTCCTTGATGTTACACTCATGTGTGGCTTATTTTGTGGCTTCATTACATTTTGCAGTAGCAGAGGAAACTGCTGTGTGTGCTGTTTAGCAGCCAGCTGCCCATCTCTGTTTTAAACCAAATGCTGTTTCTGATGCCAAAATATTTGTATTAATTAGACAAGGACTCTCTGGAGTAAGTCATGTGCATTAAGAGGCTGCTGCTCTAAAAGGAAGTTCACAGCACTTGAATTTAGGGCAGTGGGTTTCCACCCATGTACATTAATGTTACATGTACAGGAACATGGACCTTCATTATGCAGCCAGCACATCCCCCTTCCCAAAGATCATTTCCTCTCCTGTTGTTCATACCAGAAAAATTTGGTCTCACTTGTGCTGCCTTAGCTTTCTGAGTTCCCATATCATTTATGAGGCCTTCTTTAAATGAACTGGGTACAGCACAACTTTCACAGATGAACACCCTGTGAATGGTATTTGGATGCATGGCTTGGTTTGGCTAGGTGGTTTTTTTGTTGTTTAAAAAAATAGCCTGGTGCTCATAGTGATATTCAGTCTCTTTGCTGCCTTCTTTCTGTAGCCTTCCTGTCCCTTGTGGGTTTGGTACATTGTGTTTAGATTTTAGCCCATTAAAGTGGGAAGAAATTGAGGGGATCAAGAATAAATGAACAATTTGTATTTATTTAACATTTTACTAAATAAAACAATAAAACCTTGTCTATTGTTGTACTTACCATGTGTGTGCAGGGGAAGGGTGTTGGTCTTTCTGGGAAGCTGTAACCAGGAAAAAAGATCCTTTTTAAAACATTGCTTCCCAAATCAAATCTGAAGCTTTAACTGCAAGTAGGCATCATTACCATCTCTTAAGAGATACATCACCTCTACTAAGAGAATCCAGCTGCTTGCAGAGGAGTAAGGCGGGGCGGGGCGGGGGGGTCACTGATGAGGAGAGTAAAACATGACATTCAACCCAATCCTCATTTCCTTACTTTTTGGGGGTGGGGGTGGTGGTGACTTTTTTGATTCCTGTGGGATTATTTACTGTAGTTCCTTTTTCTCAACAACTCCTCACCTAAAGTCCCCTTTTCCCTTACCACTGCCATAGTCTCAGAGCCTTGCCTTTCATACATAACCTTTTAAATTCGATTATGGCTTTCAGCCTGTAGTTCTTTCTCCCCACTCCAAAACCAGGTAACTACTGGACATACTTTCCTTCTGGCTTCATAGCCACACTCTTTCTCTTCTCAAGTCCTGTGTGAATTCTTTCCCAGCCAGATTAACTTTACTCATACCTTGTTACAGCTCCATTCCTTGACATTAGAGATGAACAGTTGAAGGATACCTGCAAATATCCCATGAGATTACAGCTGTTCAAAGGGAAGACCAAGCATGAGGGATTTTTAAAACAATATGAATGGGGGGAGGTGACTCTTTCTCCCAGCTCTTGTAGCAAAAGAAGTTTAACCAAATGGGCTCATTGCTTCTCCAGATAGTAAGCTAATTTTGACCAGCTCTGCCACCATCACATTAAGTCTGGCCCTAAAAGGTTTGCAGGATAAGCCACTTCAAGTTCTGGGAATTTCTTCTTGTGTGCTACCACCCACTTCAAGTCCTGTGGATTATTGTTACTGGCTTCCCCCTTATGTTCCTCATTTGCATGACCAACCTCCAGTCTACCCTGCCTTAGATTCAATACTGACATAGTAACTGTGAGGAAAACAGAAAACTGCAGTGAGAGAGCAGTGTGGGGCAAGAGTCATCTAACACAAATAGCTAGGCCAGCAGCAAAAATGCACAAAGGCTACTTGTAACAAAATCACACAACTTCCTCAGAGGCTTGAAAAATAATTCTAAAAACTTTAATTTTACAAATGGCAGGAAATGTGTCCATTCTGTACAATACTTGGTTTAAGCCAGTTTCAGCATTTAAGGTGCTTCCAGAGAATGCTTTGTCAGGCTGTTTCCCTGCCTCATTAATGGAGAATCCAGACATCTTCCACTCAAACTGTTCAGTGTTTTCCCACTGTTCTGCCATCTTTTTTTCTTACCACAGAAAACCTGCTAGGTTTTCCATGAAGATAGAATAAGCTGCTCAATGGCTTCTAACTGTTAGTACTGGGATCCTCTTGTCCAGAAGCACTCTTAAATGAGCTTCCTTAACTTGGGACAGGAAAGCTTAGTCCCAGTACTTTGGAAGCTCTCACATTCCTGCTTAATGCCAAGAAGTCAAGAGAGAAACCAAAGACTAGCAGCAAAGGCCCCAGAGGTGCTCTAGAACCAAAGCGATAAAAAGAAACCATTAGAAAATCCAAGACACCCAAATCATTTTGTACCTTGGGAGAAAATGCCTTAAATTATATAAATAGCAAGTGAGGAAAGTGCTTGCAGGTTTTGCCCATCTTCTCGTGTTCCAGTGTTTGATCATTGTGGAGCGATGCTGGACTGATGCTGTCCCCAACACACACATCCAGCGGCAGTACTCACTAAGAGCACTTCATGACCCCTCAACTGACAGATTCAGATATCTTCCTTCAAAGTGTTGGCTTATTCTTTTGAAGATCAGGTTTTCCATGCAGCTGTATGGACAGCAGCCTGCAGAGAATGGCTCAGGCATCCTTTCCAAGTTGCAACAACAAAGGATCACAGCTTTTGACCTCAGCTTCAACCTCAAGGTGGGAAAACAGTCTTCAGTCCATTGTGGAAGGTCCCTCTGTGTCGTTTTTGTCCCTGCTTTGCTACACAAGAGAATCTGAGCAAATATTATCAGAAAGGCTACTTCAAGGCTATACTCCATCTGCTTGGAAGGGAGGGGCAGGGCTAAATCTTCCTCCATGGGAGGGGGAAAGAGCTTGCTTGGCAATGATGTGCAACATCAAAATTGCATCCAAGATATGATTCCATGACTATTAGCTGTGATAGCAAAACAGAACTTATATGAAAAGCAGCAATATATCTGTGCATTTCAGATGGTGGGGTAGAGGAAGAAGGCACCAGTGGGGCTGGCTATCTCTAAAATAACCTGCTTATAACTTTTTCAAGGGCACTTGGCTGGTGGGCTCCTGTTGAAAAGGAAGTCCAGCCTACATGCAGGCACAGCAGAGTTAGGGTCAGCATACAACTCTGAACTATGGATATGACTTCCCTTGAGCTTATCTTCCGTCCAAACAGAAACAAACAGTACGGCTTAAAAAGCCTTTAGGGCTGTTTCAGAACAGGGCACAGAATAAAGCCCTATTATTATGAATAGGTTCACAGATAGGCAAAAAAGAGATGTATGCATGTAGCCCTCTTGCATTTGTCATGGAAAGTATTCAGGAGCCAAACATTCTGCAACTAGGGAAAAGCATGTTTATACATTTTAGTAACATTAAAGACTTTCATCAAAATTGCTATTCTTCAAATTTGGTTTTCAGGGGATGCCAGAAACGAGAGCAAGGCGTGAGGCTAAAAACATAAAAAGAGCCGGAAGGCCTAGCTAGCCGGCACACTGCTCCCACAGTGGCCAACCTCATGCAGGACAGAAGCACAGTGGCGCTTCCCTCTTTATGTGCCCCAGCAGCTGGCATACAGGGACATGTTGCCTCTGCAGCTGGAGGTCACAGACAGCAATTGTGGCAACTTTATCCTCCAAATTACATAAGAACATGAACAAGAGGAGAGAACTATGGAGAAAGCCAAAACACGTGGACCAGCTCACGTGATCAAGGGGCATGCTGTGGCTTTGTGGTGCATGCTGGTGCCCAGTCTGAATATTCAGGCCAACACTGGCTTGTCCTGTTGTCCAAATCCAAGGTCCATAGGTTAACACATGTTCTGAGAGGGTTGTTTAATCCTGGTGTAACCCAGAGTCCTCCGATTCAGACAACATGTCAAGGTGCAGTTGTCAGTTGAATATTTAGAATGGCACAGACGGAGCTGTGGCTCAGCACTGCTCACAAGCTGCAGCAATCATGCAAACCTGGTTGCTTTGGAAAGCAAACAGCCCTGCCATTAGGCATGGAGAAACAAGACAGAAGAATTTTGGATCTCCGTGTTCCATGTAGAACTACTAACTAAAATCTACCTTTCCACCACTGAAAATAGGTGAATGTAGCATTGAATTAAAATCGGGCTCAGACTGTGCATGTGGGGAATGGAGGGGATTCACTGTACACGCCAGTCTCATCTCCGCCTTAATTTGGAAACAATACATAAAAAGAAGTCAATGCATATATATGCAATTTGCAAATACAAATGCAATTCAGACTGAGAGTGGAATTTGAATTTGTGAGTGAATATGCATTGTCCTGAACAACGGGTGCTCCTCAGAGCCGGACACAACAGGGCCCCACAACCTAGGCCAGAGCTGTGCCACCTTGCTGCAGGTGTGACCCTCTCCAAGAAGCCCGGCTCTGTTGCTCTCCCAGCCTGTCCTTTGGTGTCCAGCCTATCATTCACAGGATTCTCTCAGCAGTGAGGTATTTGAGTGCCGCCGCACCATACTTGCGTGACAAATCCTGATGAAACTCTTCCCTCAAGGTCTTCATGCAGTCACGGTAGCTGGAGCTCCGGCGGAATTTGGAGATATCAAAACTGGGAGCGTGAGGCATGTGGATCATGAAGGCGTTGGGCAGTACCAGCAGCTCATACTCCTGCAAAGGGGCATGAAGTGGCTCAGAGGAACAGCTTCCTTGAAAGCCATGCCCTCCAGCCTGGACTTTCTGGCAGCAGGAAGAGGCAACCAACAGAGAGTTCCTGCTGTACACTTACCTGGGCATCAAGCTCCATAATATGGGAGACCTTGTTCCAACCAAAGCCAACAAACCTCTGGTCGTACGGAGGGCAGTCTCGCCTTACTACAACGTAGGGCTCAAAGTGTGGCTGCCACTCCACTGGATATGGCACTGTGGCTGTCCGCCACTTGGCATAGTCTGTTGGGGCATGGCCTTGTGGCCACACATGGTACCTGTGCACAAAGACATGCAGAATTACTCAAAGTCCATTTCTGTCTGCAGATTATAGTCTCTGGGCCGAGAACTGAAATAATGAACAAAGCTCTAGTCAAGCAAATCCTTTTATTGTCCCCCTCAAAAGCATCATCCTTCTGGATGGACACAAGATGGAGCATTTCGTATTAAACAGAATAATTACCATCTATCTCTACATTCACCATCAGTAATTTTCTTTCCTCCTGGATTTCATTTGTTTTTGTCCTGCCCCTATTTCAAAAAGCTCTGCTGCTCCCTGCTCCCAACCCAAGAGATGCTAACCAGGCCAAGGAAACTCTGAGATTTGTGGCTGAGGGGGGACTTCAACCTAAGACTCTCAGGTCCTCATCCAGACACTACATTGTTCAGTGTAGGCTGCCCAATGGAACCAAGCCATTCATACAGATTATCTGCAGGCAGCATGGTAGAGTTGGGCTTGGATGAGGGAGACCTGCCTGCATGTCTTTCTTCAGCCAAAAATTCACTGCACGGCCTTGGCAGAGTTACCTTGGCCTCAACAGCCCATCTGCAGAATGGGAATAATGCAAGTAGGTCTGCCATGTTCTGATAAGCAGAGTTCAATCCTAACAAAAAATGGAGGTCTGAATGAGACATGGGCATGAAGCCACAGCAAAGGCAAAGAGAATCAGAACAAGTGTGACCTCTAGAAAGAGAAGGCCAGAAAACATGGGCTGGGGGAAGAGGGCCCCTCTACTATTTATTTAAAATACTTATTTCTGGCCTTATCCCCAGGTGGAATCCTCCACAGGTGGCTCATGACAACTCCAGAATCTCATTTGGATGTGGAGCGGTACAGAAATACCGCACAGAAATAAGACATGGAATGCCAAGGAGGGGGAGCAATTAGGTTTCCCAGGCAAGGGGCCTTCATACTTTGGCCATCTCAGTGGCCTGGGCTGTGTCCGGTTTTCCAGCCAGCCAAACCTCTGACAGTAACAGGACTAGGAACAAGGCCTTCAGTTCTGGCCCCAAGTGATCAGGTGTGCTTGTGTAGCTGAGGCGGCTCTTAAAATATCCTGGCATTGGCGTTCGTGGCTTTGCAAGTATTAACACTTTCTGACCATTGTGGTCAGAAACAGACCTGAACTCAGTGCAGGACAGAGAGGGAGACACCTGCTGTAGATCACAGCCCACATTCATGCATGAAGCAGAGAAAGAGAGGCGATCAGGAGGGAGATGGAAACTGGGAAGCATGAATGGTGTGGAGAGGCTGGGAGAGGGGGACAAATGGGAAATGAGGAAGAGGGAGCAGTCAGTTCACAAACAGAAGCATGGGCAAGAGCTGAAAGGGAAAGGCAGGTTGCTCACCTGTAACTGTCGTTCTTCGAGTGACCATCTGTGCATCACACATATGGGTGCGCGCCTGCGCAGAGTCTGTAGCTGGGAAGATTTAAAAACTTAACGGTTTTGGCAGGAACTCTGCGTCCCCCCCCTTGTTAGTATAAGAAGGCAGAGTGCCCACCATTTCCTCAGTCAACTGAAGACCGACCGTTCGCCCTCAAGCAGAAGTGAAAAGTATTACACATCAAGTGTTTAAGACACTAAAGGTAAGTATATAGGTACATGAAGATAAACCCTATGGATCCGTAACCAAGCGAAACACGGTACCATAAAAACCCAGTCACCGACACCAAGTGGGGCCGGCAGGTGGGTTGTATGAATGCACAGATGGCCACTCGAAGAACGACAGTTACAGGTGAGCAACCTGCCTTTCTTCGTCGTGGCCTCTGTGCATCACACGTATGGGTGATTAGCAAGCTTATCAGACCTGGAGGCGGAACGGTGTTGTCAGTGAAGAACAGAAGAAAGGACTGCGTGACCAAAGGAGCAATCCTGTCTGGCACGCACATCAAGGCAGTAATGTCTGAAAAATGTGCAAGGGGTAGTCCAAGTGGCCACCTTGCAAATGTCATGAAGTGGAATGCCAGTGGAGAAAGCCGCAACAGCCCTCGTGGCATGGCCTCTGGGCATGACAGGTACGTCGTTTATAAAGTTGATGGGCCAGTTCAATGGTCTGAACAATCCACTTTAAGAGTCTTTGGGACCTGATGGGGGACCTTTGTCATGTTCAGAATACTTGATGAAAAGGCATCTGATATTGCGAAAAGATTCCCTACGAGACCTGTACAAGGCGAGGCATCGACAAACATCAAGGGAGTGTAGCAAGCACTCCACAGGCGCAGATGGAGTAGGAAAAAAGGCTGGCAAGACAATGTCCTGATTGACAAGGAAGGGTGAAGGGTGATAGGACCTTCGGAAGGAATGCCAGATCAGTCTGCAGAACAACTTTCTCCTTATGAAAATGAAAATTAAGATAAGGAGGGTCCATACGGAGCGCGCAGAGTTCACGGGCCCTTCAAGCTGATGTGATAGCAACAAGGCAGGCAGTCTTCCATGACAAGAGATGTAGGTCAGTAGTCGCCCAAGGGCTTTGAAAGGAGGTTTAGTGAGTGCTTGAAGGACAACAGAGAGGCTCCATGTCGGAACGACTGATCTAACCGGTGGCTGGAGATTCTGTAATCCATTAAGGAATCGATGAATAAGGACGTTAGAGAATACCGATGAGCCGGCCACCTGGCCACAATAGTGAGAGATCAGTGTAAACTTTAATGGACAAAGGTTTGAGTCCAGTCTGGTGTAAGGATAATAGAAATTGAAGAACATTCTCAATAGAAGCTGAATGAGCAATAAAGTGGTTTTTGGCAAAAGATGCAAAACATCTCCATTTAGCCACATACGAACGATGAGTTGTAGGTCTTGGTGCAGACTGGAGAATGAATTGAGTATCAGGATGTAGAGCGCTCGAGTCTGATGGAGTATTCGTCGGTATCAAGAAAGGATGAACGGCTGTGTCTGGGCCTTGAAGACCGCCAGCAGCTCTAGGGTGTTGATGTGTCTGGCAATCTCATGGTCATCCCAAGTGCCCTGAGTGCAAAATCCGGCACACAGAGCTCCCCAACCCATGAGAGAGGGCATCAGTGGACAGAGTCAGTGCTGGATGAGGTGGGTGGAACGGAATCCTGACAGATTGCTCTGTATAGTCCACCATGACAGGGTCTGGAGAACGGAGACCAGGAGACAAAGAGGACGGTGTGATGAATCTTGTTGTGGGTGGAAGAGGCCGTTGAACCAGAGTTGGAGGGGCCTCATCCGCAGTCCGGCGTACGGGACCACAGAGACTGTGAAAGCCATGTGTCCAAGGAGCTGCTGTACAGACAGTGCTGGAACAGTTCTGTCCATGTGGATTCGATGAATGGATGAACGACGTTTCTCCTGTCATCCTTGAGGAAGGAAGGCTCTCACAGTCGTGGAATCGAGATGGGCTCTGATGAAATCAGTGATCTGTGAAGGAACAAGGCATGATTTTTCATAATTAATACATAGTCCCAAATCATGTAAAAGGGTGCATGCAGTCTGGATTGCCGATCGAAGGCCTTCTCTAGACAAGGAGACGATCAACTAGTCGTCAAGGTAAGGATATACTTGAATTCCCTGAAGCCAGAGGTGTGCACACATGCATTTGGTGAAGACCTGTGAAGGCCATGCATTTGGTGAAGACCTGTGGAGCAGTAGCCAGTCTGAATGGTAAAACATTGTATTCAAACAGGTTGGAACCGATCGTAAACCGAAGAAGTCGCCTGTGAGACAGGTGGATGCTAATATGGAAATATGCATCCTTTAAGCCAAGAAAGTGAACCAATCCTCTCTCCTGAGCAACAGAAGGATGTTTTGAAGGGTGATCATATGGAACTTTTTAGTTTTGATAAACCTGTTGACGCCACCTAAGTCCAATATCGGGTGAAGACCACCGTCCCATTTCGGGACCATAAAATATCTCTAGTAGAAACCGTGTAACCCCTCAAGAGTATGAGAGTTGTCAAATCACTCCTTTATGAAGAAGTTGTTGAACTTCGTCTTTGAGAACCGACAACGGAGACATAGATCGGATTGGTCCTGATGGGGGTACGATATCAAATTCGTTTCTATATCCATGCTCCACGATGGATAAAACCCACTGATCAGATGTGATGGACTCCCAAATGGGGAGTCGACTTTGCAGTCAATCCCCAAAAGGAAGAGGGGAGGGTGGGTTCAGGAGAGAAGAAAAGGCTCACTCATCCCGTCAACGCTGGCGCTTATTAGAATCCAAGCGGCGACGGCTCTGCTGATAGCATTGCACTAGTTGTTTTCGGTGCTGCTGACGAAGCTGGAACTGCTGCCAGCCAGAGAACTGTGTGTATTATTGATATTGGTAGGAGGGATGGGACCAAGACCACTTACGTCTGGATTGGTTAGGAATGTCAATACATCGAGCTGTCATGCGGGATTCATGGATGGTCTTGAGCTTGTGGTCCATCCTGGCGTTGAACAGCCCAGAGCCATCAAAGGGCATGTTCCCTATCCAGCACTTCGTCTCATCCTGAAAATTGCAGTTCTGGAGCCAGGCGTGGCAATGAAGGGCTACAGCACCAACGAGGGTCCTCGAGTTGCAATCAGCATGATGTCTCGCCTTAGAGAGCTGTTGAATTGCTACCTGCATCGCCTCCTTGGTGAAGATGCAAGCCAGGTCCCTCTGTTGCTCCGGGAGTGACACTGTAATATTCTCCAGTTTCTGCATGAGGAAATACTGGTAGTGAGCCAGCGTCGCCTCGTAACTGGAGATCCAGAACCCAAGGCCTGTGGCAGCGTAAATATGGCGAGCCATCATGTTGATCTCCCGCCCTTACTTGTCGTGAGGAGTGTTCTCTCGACTTGCGACCCTGGGACGACTCCACGACGATCGAGTTCGGCTTCAGGTGACTGAGGAGAAATGGAATGTCCTGTTCTCGAACTCTATACATAGATTCATATTGCTGCGAAGTTGGCTGCGGCTGGTTGGGAAAGTTCCACAATTCCATCATTGCCTGACGGAGTGTTGTGATGAGAGGCAGAATGATGGTGGCGGATTGTTCTCTCTTCATGATGTTATAAACTGTCAGTACTGGGATTGAAGCGGTGCTGGGCTGCGATCTCCAGTGACCTAGCCAATCTTGCCATCAGTTCCCCAAATGCTGAATACAACTCCTTGGGTGAGCTGGGACCCTGTGTAGTGATCACCGCGTCCAGTGAGGTGGGCACTGCACCTGAATCCTCCAACTCTGAACCATAATGGAGCGGAGGACTGGAGGAGGAGTCAACCAGCGAGGAAGGGCGCCTGGTCTGAACTGCTGCAGATGTCGATGGATAATATCCATATGGTGCATAGTCGTCCCATGGTTCACGACAGGCAGATCCATGCAGTGCTTGCACCCATTCTCCAGAGGGACAGATGGAAGCATGCTGCTGGCGCCGCACTTGCTGAGGTGAGGCCCTCAGAGAAACTTCAGGCAAAGGCTGCGGGGTAGGCGAGCGTGCCATCGGAGGAGTCATCTGCGGAGAGTGCCAGATCTCTCCGTCAGAAATCGATCCCAGTATGGCGGCCTCCAGACAATCTGGCGAGGACAAGACCGAAGGAGCGACCCGTTGCAGGGACCCTGGCGGAGTCACCTGCATAGTTGGAGAGACAGTCCAGTCGATGTTGGTACTGAAGCAGCCATCGGGGCCGACGGGGTAGACGATCCCAAATCACACTGACGGGGCTGGTTGGCCTTCTTGGTCTTGTGAGCCGTCTTGTCTGCCCTGTCCTTCTTAGGCTTCTTATGGCCTGAGGACTTGTCAGATCCACTGCACTTCCTCTTCTCCTTTTGTTTGTGAGGAGACTTAGAGGAGCATTTGCCCTCCAGCAGAGTAGCACCATCAGCTGATGGGCAGGGCGGAGGGCCAGCCAAAGAGGAGGGCTGCACAGCGGATTGGGCCACCAGTTGATCAGATGCAACCAAGGCCTGGTTCCAGAGAAGCCTGCGCAGGCGGTTCGCCCAGTTTTTTCGTGCCTGCTGGGTGAAGGCCCGGCAATGGCCACATTTATCGGTCCTGTGACCTTCTCCAAGGCAGAGAAGGCACAGGTCATGTGGGTCAGTGGGGGACATCCTGGCCCCACACTGAGAACAGTTGCGGAAAGCCACACACTGAGCCATTGAGATTGAAAAAGAGAAGATAGCTAAGTTGAGAAATGTAAGGTAATAAACTTTTTTAATATATTTTTTTTGGGGGGAAAGGGTAAAAAGGGTGGAATTAGAAGAAAACTTCTAATGGGGAGGGATGAATAACTTGGAAATCTTAACAAGAAAGCTGAGAGATCAGACAGCAACGGTTCAAAGGGGATCAAGATACAACAATATAGCTACGGACTGAGAGATGAAAGGCTCGAGGCACAGTGAACAGCAGTTACAAGAAGACTGGGAAAATGGCGGGCAGTCTTGCCTTCTTATACTATGGTGGGGAGGGGTGCAGAGTTCCCTCCAAAACCACTAAACTTTCAAGTCTTCCCAGCTACAGGCACTGCACATGCGCAGCACCCATATGTGTGATGCACAGAGGCCACGACAAAGAACAAGTAAGTTAGCAAAGGTGGGAAGGTTGCATAAACAGAACAAAGAAAGAGGAGAAAGGTTTCTAGTCAGGAGCTGGAGAAGAGGCTGCACATGCCAACTTCAAATGACCAGCCAAATCCTGGGCTGTGAGTTGTTTGTAAGAACTGCAAACATGAGGACTGGTCACAGCCTTTGTTCCAGAGGACAGTCCAGCAAGTGTTTTGAGCTAGAGCTCTGGCTGGGATGCCACAACTTTTCGCTGATCCAGCACCCACCTGAAAGTGTAGAGGGAGCCCATGTCCAGCATGGAGAGCAGCTCCGCTTTGGATTTGGGAAAGGTGAGGCGGTAATGCAGAGTCTCAAATGCAGGCACAATGAGCGCTGCCTTCCTTTGGGGCAGCTCCAGCTGTACAATGGAGGTCCTAGAGCACAAAGGGAGAAAGAGCTGCTGGCTTGGTGCCCCGTGAAAGATTTACAGAGACATTTAACCCTCCCTGGTTATTTCTGGCCTGAGGCTGATCCAATGGTACCATCACACTTGGGCAGGAGTGCTTCACGGCATGGGTGGATGAATCTACAGGTGGCACATAGGTTTGGAATGGCCAAGATTCTGGGAAGAAAGTAGAATGATCCTATAAGCAGGATCCGAGCTGGTGGACAGGACTGGTGGACAACCTTGGCAGGGACAACCACTTCATTCCCTTATTTTAGCCTCTTGGAAAAGCCAAGGCCTTCTCCCAGATCAGGACATATTTGGGATCCAGGGAGACACGTACCTGAGGTAATCATAAAGGCCATACATAGGCAAGAAGTCAACGTCTGTCAGAAAGACGTAAGTTGTCTGTGCATTCCTCAACGCTACATTGCGCAGGAAGTTGATGGGGTAGAACTGCCCTTCCCTGTATACAATATGATAGGCAACATTCCTGCGCTTACTGAGCACCTCGGAGGCTTGGGCATAGCGTAGGAACTGCTGGGCCTCTGCATCAGACATATACAGCGCCAAGCTAATGGGACCTGTCCAGTGTTTGCAGATGGCCTCCAGCATCTGCAACCTACAAACCAATGAGACAAATCGAGAGCATTAGAGACACTCTGCAAGTGACCACAAAAGACCCCACAGCCAAGCCACCCTCGGTCTGAATGAGCTTCTAACTCTCAGCTTCAGCAATCCTGAGCCCCAGTAAACAGCATGGCTGATCCCCAGACCTTGTGCCCCCACTTTTTTTCTGCCCCACAGTTCTTGCTATACCTTTTCCATGCCAGGGACCAGCAGAAGATACACCATGTGTACAAAAATTAGCAGCAACCTCTGAAAACAGGCTTGCTTTTGTGCAGTTCTAAGCACAAGAACCTACATCCAGACCAGTAGAATATCTGTTTCTACATGACTCTCAGCAATCCTAAGCACTAGAAACATGTTCTTTCTCTAATAGAGAAGAACAGAAGCAGAAACTTCCAAGAAAGCATGTATATCCCTGCAGTCAGAATTACACAACTGTATGATGTGCACTGTGCTTGCAGCCATAGAGATTCCCAGTTGTACTCAACTTGGGTGTATTGGGCTCATGGACCAACTACCACTTATCAAGAACGACAAATGGATGGAGGGCAATCAAACTGATCAAGACCTCAAATCATTCCCTTCTGAGGAAAGGCTACGATCTCTGGACCTATTTGGCTCTGCAAAAAGGGTTGGTAGGTGGGGACGTGATAGAAATGTGTAAAATTGTGCCTGATGTGAAGAAAGTAGAGAGGAAACAGGTTTTCTTCTCCTTTCAGTACCAGAACCTGCAGTCTTCCACAAAGACTGATCTGTGGAAGATTCAGGACAGCTAAAAAGGACTTCATACGATGCCCAGTGAAAGTCTGGAATTCAGTTCTGCAGGAGGTAGTGAGGTCCACCAACCTGCATGGCTTTGAAAGGGCATTAGACAAATTCATGGAGGAGAAGGCGATCAACAGCTGCTGCCAGTGTCTGAGGCATATGCCTCTGCTTACCAGTTACTGGGAAGCACGACCACTGCACTCTGGCCGACTGGTGGGCTTCCCACAGTCATCTGGTGGGTCACTGTGTGAACAGGATCCTGACCTTGGTTAACCTGCTGCCATGCAATGCTCCTGGTCTAGCTTCTGAGCAAAGACTAACCCGGAAGTCACCACTGCTCCCCACACCCTTCTTTTTCTAACTGGTACCTGTCCATGGATAGCTGAGCTATGAGAGTAACATCAGTAGCATCAACCAAGGCAGGGAAGTCATATTCCAGGAAGAAGAGGTGCACACGGTGCTGAATAAGGTTCTGCCTTCGGAAATCATAGCAAGGATCATCTTCATCCAGCTCCTCTAGGGCCTCCTGGAGCTAAAATTCACATGGGGTGAGTGAGTGAGTGAGTGAGTGAGAGAGAGAGAGAGAGAGAGAGAG